AGGCCAGGTCATCTCCTAAGCTGTCCTGTGCCTCCTGCATCTGAGGAAGACTCTGGTGTTTTTTCATCTGCACTTTGCTTGTGCAAGCCCTTAGCCTGAGCTTAGCAGGTCTGGGTGCCAAGCTTAAAGCCCGACTGCAAGCTCATGGATGGATCCTGACCACCTTGAGCATCTCACCAGACACAAACCTTGTGCAGGGAAGGTGGCTGGGCTTGTTCCTGTCCTGTTGTGCCATGTATAAGCTCCTGGCTTTGTTAGCCCCACCAGTTGCAAGCAGCATCTACTGCCCACAGCTTTGGGGAGGGGGATAAGGCATCTGGGTGGCTTTTTGTGACAGCGGCGGGGAGGGCTGTGGCTTCCAACACTGGTTTATCTCACACTGCTCTTATTGGGTCCCCAGTAATGATGCACCAGTGCCTGCTCCTGAGAAATGGGCTTTAATTCAGAAGCTGTGGGTGCATCCACACCAGCCTCGGGCTCCTCATCATCCCTGCCCAGCTGCTCCAGGTTGTCTAGGCAGAAAATCAGATTTTCCCCCTTCTCTGTGTTTTGTTAAGTGCAAGATCTCGCCCCAGGTGGAGGTGATGGCGTGTGTGGCTTCAGAACCACTCAGCTAATCCGCTGTAATTCATACCATCTGGCCATCATCCCCACGGCAGGGAGGGGGTCTGGTCATCCACATACCCCCTGTGGTGACAGGCATCCCCAGGTCTGCCTTCTGCCATGGTCCATCAGCCTGCCTCGGGGGGCTGCCTGGCCCCTGCCATCCTCATAGTGGGACAGCTTGGGTGGGATCTTGGCCGTTGTCCCATCACCAGGGATTTGGATCAGCACTGAAGGTACCTCCCTGGGTTTAATTTAATTAGGCTTGTGGCTTCCTGAAACCAGGTGCTTAGGACCTGCAGCAGCCCCAGGGCTGCTGCCACCACCCTGGCTCCATCTCCCTGGGGAAGAAGCAAGGACACCCCAGTGCCAGCCACCAGCTGGGCTGTGGTTTCCTGTTGATGGTGATGGCACCAGTGGGGTGGGGACCTCGGGTGCAGGGGATGGTGGCTGTGGTGGCTCAGCTGCTGCGGGTCCCCCTGCCATACCCTCCCTCCACAACACCCTGCCAAGAATTTGTTCCCTCTTGCCCAGGGCTGACATCACCCCTTTATCGCTCCCTGCTCCAAATGTGCCCAGCATCCGGGAGGTGTTGGCAGCAGGGCCCTGCCCTACACACACAGGCTTTAGCTGGGTGCTTTTGTCCCAGCTGGACCTGCCTTGCCCGTGTCTCTTTTGGGGACCCCCCTCCCCACTGCTGGCACCATCCCTGCTCAGTGCTCCCTCACCCTGGGCTTCCTCATCCCCATGGATGGAGCCAGGATCAGTCCCTGATGAACCTGCTCAGGCCCCCAGGTGGGTCTCCCCATTGTGTGGCTGTGTTCAACCCCATCCCGTGCGAGAGGAGCTGGATCCGAGGTGGTGGTGGTGGATCCTGCAGGGGCCAGGAGGCCATGTTTTGCTTGGCATCCCAGGCAGGATTTGAGCTCGAGCCTATGGAAAGAAGCAGCTCAGTGTGTTAATCTGATCCACCTTGGCGCCCCAGCTTGCCTCCAGCTGATGGTGTCCTTGAGCCCACCACTGTCCACGGGCTGTGAGGCTGGTGATGGTGGTGACAGCTCCATCTTGGCAAGGTGTCTTGGACAGGGTGGTGGGGCACACAGCCCAAAATCTCTGTGTAGGAGGTGGAATCATTGTCCTGGTGGCTGTGGCTGGCAAGTACCTGGCTGCCTTTAGACTTGGTGGAGATGGAGCATGTCGAGGAGCACCCCAAAACCACTCCACTGGCTGCCCTTGCTGGGCACTTCAGGAGCAGCCCCTGGGGCTGCCAGGGCTAATCTGGGTGCTCCATCAGGTGCTCAGTCCTGGGGCAACCCCTTCACAGGTTCTGCACTGGGATCCCAAGCATGGATGGAGCAGTTCCTGGGAAGCTGCTGCTGCACCCAGGCATGCACCAGGCTCTGGGCAGCTTTGCAGGCATATGGGACTGCACTTCTGACCACTGGGGTTTTGCCAGGTCTGTGCTGGTCGTCGCCCATTGTGCATGGCTCAGGAATGAGGATGTACAGCTTGTTGTAAGCCATACATGGATGAGGATGCCCAGGGATGAGGCTCATGGCTTGAGGATGTTCTACTTGTGGCTCAGGGATGAAGATTCATGGCTCACAGCTCAGGTGGAGAAGCTGCTCTTGCCTTGCATGGGGGTGAGCACTGTAGATGTGTCCCACCAGCCCTCCATCCCAAAGGATGTGCGCAGGGGCAGGGGAGTGGTTGGGCCTTGGCAGCTCCTGGGCAGTAGTCACGTTATCACCCACCTGGGCTCCACTCAGTGTGTGGTGGCCTTGGTGCTGGCAGCAGGAGCAGGGCAAAGTCCTGAGACAGCAGAAAGCCAGCACCTGGCTCACCTGGAAAAGCTGTGTCCGCATCAAACCGGGACCTCAGCCAGTGCACGTGAATCCAGCCAGGGCAGCACCTCCACCACAGCCAGGCTGCAGAGGCTGAATGGGAGCTGCTGGGCTGGCACAGTGGCTTTGCTTTCACCATTAAGGGGCATATCTGGGCAGTGGTGTATGGTGCTGCATGGTCAGTCGTCTTTGGTCCAGGTGGTAGAGCACCCAACAGTGATGCTGAAGCCCAAACCTTTTTGCTTGCTCAACATAGGTAAAGCTGGGGCTCATTGTGCCACAATCCCAGTGGAGGCTGGTGTGCCCTTCTCCTGGGGGAGCTGCTGCAGGGACTGGAGCTTCCAGTCAGACCCTGGAACAGACATTTGCCCTCACTCTGCTGGATTTTGCAACCCAGGCTTGTGCTCTGCTGCAGCAAAAACCTCTGGTGCTGGCCCAGGGCAAATGGGGGAACGAGCAGGGGGCTTCAAGCCACCTATCCTCCTTCACTACACTCCCTGTTCTAGGTTTTTCCTGTGCTTGGTCTGACCACGGTCCCTCCCGCCGGCACAGATGCAAAACGGGTTGGCAAGCTGGGAATTGGGGCTGGCGCCAGCATCTCCTCGTGATGCAGCATCCTTGGAGGCCGCACAGACTGTCCGGCTCCAGCACTCCCGGAGGCTTGTGTGCTGGTAGCCACGGGAAGTGAGCGTGGCTCTGGGCGAGCTTTGGGACCACGTGCTGTGGTCCCTGGGGGGTTCATTGTCCCTCCCTGCACTCTTAGCCATGCTTGAGTGTGGCGGCTGGGAAGCAGAGACCTTAAATAACTCCAGAGCATCCTTGCCCTCCTGGTCCCAGGCTTCCCGCCAGCATCCCCGGATGGGTTTTTGTGTGTGTGTGAATAAATTAGAACTTCCGAAACAAACCCTGCAACCACCCTGCTGCACTAAGGCAAAACAAGCCCTGCCTGGCTCAGGCAGCACGCGGCTCTGCTTGTTGCCTCTGAGCCAGGCTTGCTTAAAACAAGCCAGCAAACTTGTCTCTCTGAGGTTTCTGGGATGCTTCCTGGTGTTTGAGGCTTGGGAGGTGATTGGGAGCTTTGTGGTTGGACTGGAAGCTTTTCTTGCTGGCTGGGGTGGGAGCAACGCAGGTAATCATTGAGGCCACGGCCACCAGCACTTTTATTTTTAAATCTTATCTTTATTGCAGTTTTCTCCTGCCCTGTTGGGAAAGGAGAAACGCACCTTATCTGGCCAGCTGCTGGCAGCACGACCTGTTCCTGGGTAGGCGAGAGGCGGATGTCCTGCTTCAGCAGCACCTTCCGCATCCCCTATGGCACAGAGGATAGAGCCAGGAGCAATGATGCTGGGGGTGATGCTGAGCTAGCCTGGCACGCACCTATGATGGGTGTTGGATGGGAAAGAGAGGTCCCTGCAGCCCCTTACTGCCAGCTGAGCATCTCTGGGGTGTTATCACTCTGGCCTTTGGCCATGGGCTTTATTATGGGTTTCTCATACAGCCAAGTCAATTCCGAGCTGGGGACGGCTTCGCTGGCACCCCAAGAGCTGCAGCTGGCAGCACCCTGATCCCAGGCTAGGGATGCAGGAATGGGGAGCTGAGGGGGCAGCCAGTCCTTGTGCCCACCCTGGGTCTGGTGGGATGAGTGCTAGGAGGGGTCTGGGTCCTGCAGAATGGGTGGCAGTGCCCAGGGCCACCGCTGTGTCCATCCCAGGGTGGCTCCAGATGCCTGATGGGGCTGTTTCTCAGGGATGTCCTATGAAGCACCCAAGGGTGCCAGGCAGGAGGGTGCAGGGGCCATGGGGCTGTCCCTGCAGCACTCGCCTGTTAATGGTTAATGTGACTGGCCAGCAGAACAGGCTGTACCTTGCTGCTGCTGTTTGTTTGCATCCCAGGCACTCCACCCCGGCCACTGGCCCCGCAACACCCCCCTGCTCCTGCCCAGACTGTCCCCCAGCCACCCCAACAGTGACTTTGGGGGTGACACTGCCACTTGCTTGAGCTGAGATGTAGATGAGGCTGGGATCAGGCATAGCAGCACCCAGTGCTCTCCAGCATCGGACATCCCAGTTGGATGCTCCCTTGAAGGATGTGGAGTGGAAGGAGCAGACCAAAATCCCTCTTTTTTTCTCCCCCTATTTAATCCCCTTGGCACCCCAGCCAGGAGTTGGGGTACTGTGCCTCTTGGCCACCATTTCTGGGAGGTGAAAAGCATTCAGGGAAAGGCAGCACCTCCCATGGAGCCTTGTGCCAGCTCCAAGTGGTGCCAGTGGAGATTTTGGAGGCTATTTTGGGGTGGATGGCACCTGCCTCGCATCATCACTTCAGGGTTCTGGGCTGTCCTGGTGCCTCACTGTACCTGCAGCTCGCATCAGAGAGGTGCTCAGGGCGATGGGGTTGCAGATAAGGGTGTTTTCTTCCTCCCGTGTGTCATAGAGAGAAAACAGCAACTCTGTGACTTGCAAAGGCTCCAGAGCAAGGCTGGGAGCCGGGTGATGAGCCAGGGTGGTCCTGAGGCAGGGGAATGATGCTGGAGACAGGCTTTGGTCCCTGGGGATGGAGACAGGCTGCACTGCAGGGCTCCTCTTGTCTCTTGCAGGCTGTGACTCTGGCTTTGGGCAGGCGACGGCACGGCACTTGGATGCCATGGGCTTTCAGGTGTTTGCCAGTGTGCTGGACCTGCAGGGACCTGGCGCCCAGGAGCTGCGCAGGAGCTGCTCCTCAAGGCTGACACTGCTGCAGATGGACCTGACCAAGCCAGAGGACATCCAGCGCGTCCTGCAGCACATCCAGACCCATACCAACAGCACAGGTAGGAGCCCTTGGCACACCCTGGGGGCACCATGTAGCTCCCCAGGACCTCAGACAGTGCCAAGCCTCCATGTGTCCCCCACCATGGGCTGAAACCCCATGGGCATCCATGACAGCCTCTGCTAATGGGACTTGTCCTGGGGCACCCCATGATTCCCCTGCAGGACCCCCAGGAGCTGGGAAGCAGTGGGGATCCCCAGGTGGGGGGGTCCCCCATTTGGGTCACCTCTTCAAGCATCCCATCCCTACAGGGCTCTGGGGCCTAGTGAACAATGCCGGCTTCAATGACACCATTGCTGACGCTGAGCTCTCACCGCTGGGCAAGTTTCGCACCTGCATGGAGGTGAACTTCTTCGGCTCGCTGGAGCTCACCAAGGGGCTCCTGCCCCTGCTGCGCTCTGCTGGTGGCCGCATCGTCACCGTGAGCAGTCCTGCAGGTGAGCAGCTGCTTTCTGCCTGGCCTGCCAGACCCCTGGCACCCCAAGATACTACCCCATGGTGCGGCGTGAATCACACCTTTCCCACTGGGCAACTTCACTTCCCCAGCCAGCTGCATCTGACTGGCACCCAGCACCCTGCAGTGGGCCAGTGGCACCACTGAACCCCACAGCGGGCACCCATAAACAGGAAGCCATGGGGCTGTGTGTGCACCGTGGGGACAGCAGCATGGGCAATGTCAGCCCAGCTCCCACATGCCTCCACTGGGGATGAAAACCCCAAGCTTAGGCTGGCCAGGGAGGGAAAACCAGATTCCCCTCCTCCCATTTCAACTCCCCCTGGTTAAAACACATTAATTTGAATGAAATTCCAGCTGCTTTCTCAGCAAAACAAAACCTAAGCCCTTTCCTCATGCAGAGACTGGGAGCGCAGCCCTGCTGAAGTCCTCCCAGTTTCTGCCTGTGCCCTGGCCATGCAGGCAGATGCCTGCTCAGTGAGCCCACTCACTCCTCCTCTTGCTCCTGCAAGGTGACATGCCCTTCCCCTGCCTGGCAGCCTACGGGGCCTCGAAGGCAGCACTCAGCCTGCTCATGGACACCTTCCGCAGCGAGCTCCAGCCCTGGGGTATCAAAGTCAGCCTCGTCCTGCCAGGCTACTACAAAACAGGTAAGAGGGACAGTGTCTGCTGGCTGCCTGTGCCTGCAGGTAAAGGGCAGATACCCCTGGGAGGCAGAAGACGGAGCAATGGCAGAAGATGGTGCCAAATGCAGATTCTGAGCACCCTAGCCTCCTGTGCCCTTTGGGCTCTGGTTGGTGAGAGGCAGGGTCAGGAGCAAGCCCTGCCTGCAGATCAGGAAGAGACTTGCCAAGAGCTCGGCTTGTTCAGTCTGGAGAAGAGGCGGCTTTGGGAAGACCTTGTAACAGTCTTCCAATACCTAAAGGGTGCCAAAAGAAACCTGCAGAAGGGCTTTGGACAAGGGCCTGCAGGGACAGGACAAGGGGGAATGGCTTTAACCTCACACAGGGGAAGCCGAGATGAGCTCTTAGGCAGAGGTTCTTCCCTATGAGGGTGGTGAGGCCCTGGCACATGCTGCCCAGAGAAGCTTTGGCTGCCCCATCCCTGGCAGTGTTCAAGGCTAGCTTGGATGGGGCTTGGAACAACCTACTCCAGTGGA